GTCTCCCTCCTCGTCCCTCCTCGTCCCTCTCTCCCATCCTTCCTCCTGTGTCCGCTTTCCTTGTAGATGGCTCCTCCCTGTCGCTCCCCCGGACGTGTCGGTGGGGCGGGCAGGGTGTTTCGCCTGAGACTTCCTCACCGCTTATGACCGATAATCCTGAAACTTGTTATCTGTAACAGCTTCAAAGATGGCAGGGCGGCTGGTTTTCAAATCGCACCTTCGTGTTCAACGTTCGCAGCAGTTTCAGGATGGAGGGCGTTTTTTCTTGGGGGTTCAAATGTGGCTCTCGCTTTAGCGCCGCGCATACTCGTCTTAACAAGTTGAGCAGTTTCCAGGTCTCGTCCGGTTGAAGTCAGAGGAATGTCGTTCTGGCACCATTCAGGACAGTCAGGGCGCAACTGTCATATTGATTCGCGGTGTTGAAGTTCCAGGAATGTTGTTCTTGCGTGATGTCGGATTTTCAGGGCGCAGCAGTCATGTTGATTCGCGGCGCTGCAGTCCCAGAAATGGTGTTTCGATGCGAATGAGGATTCTCAGACGGTTGTCTTCCAATGGGGCACTCCCCGCAATGAAAACATACTCTTGTAGGGAAACATGAAGAGGGAACTTGGAGGGAAGGTTTATCGAACATCGTTGATCCGTCTTGGGTTTGCACTGGTCCTCCTCCTCCTCCTCCTCCTCCTCCTTCTCGTCCGTCCTCCTCTTCCTCCTCCTCATCTTCCTTCTCTTTCGCTTCCTCTTCATTCCCCCTCCTGGCCACTCCTCCCCGTCCTCCTCGTCCCTCCTGTTCCTCCTCCGCCTCCCCCTCCCCGTCTTTCCTGGGACGGGGGGTGGAGGACAAGGGGACGGGAGGACGGGGGGTGGAGGACAAGAGGACCAGGGGACGGGGACGGCGAGGGGGGGAAAGTGGACGAGGGACGGGGGCGGGTTTTACGACGACGAGGAGGGAGGAGGGAGGAGGGGAGGGAGGGAGGAGGGAGGAGGGAGGAGGGAGGGAGGAGGGAGGGAGGGAGGGAGGGAGGGAGGGAGGGAGGGAGGGAGGGATTCGGTCGGGTACGACGCCTTGGAGCACTACGTCCCCACGATCATCCAGGTGCCAACGAATGTGAACGCAGCTTTAGCTCAGCTCCGCGGGCGCGTGGCCGAACAGCTCCTGGCCGCGAGGGACTCTGGCGACGCTCCCGCTCAGGCCCAGGCGGAGAAAGCTTTCACTTTCTTCGACCGACTGCTCCTTGTCAAGCCAGGGAAGATCCGAGGGGGTCAGAAAGCGCACAACTCTGGCGGCTTGACCCGGATCCTGACGAGACGCTTGCGGATGGCTGGACAAGGGGACTGGGGAGGGCTTTGGCGCGAGTCCACTGCGACCACGAGCCCCGGGCCGAGAAGAGGAGGCAGTGCCCCTACGGCCAAGCAAGACGCGCGAGCGGTGGAGTCGCTTCTAGACGAACACCTCATCAGCAAGGCGTTGCAGCGAACCCTCCGCCCCAGCGCGCGGGCCTCCGGGCCTGGCGTCCAGGCTGGCCTCCAGAGCCTCTTCCCAGAGGGACCAGAGCAGCACCTCCTACAGGCGCCGGCCGCGCCTGACGGCGACGCCCGCGCAACTTTGGCCACCGCCGTGGCCAAGAGCTTAGCGAAGAGCCCGCGCCGCTCTGGGCCAGGGCCAAACGGGAGTCGGTTTGAGCACTGGCGCACGCTCCTGGCCGACAACCCCTCTTTGGAAGCAGTGGCCGGCGTGACCGTCGCTTTCCTGCTCGGCGAGCTCAGCCCAGAGGCCACGCGGGCTAACCTGGGGGCGCGGCTGCTGGCCCAGCGCGAGCGGAACGGGACCCTCCGGCCGATTGCCTGCGGCACCGTCCTCCGCCGGCTCGCTGCGAGAGCTGCGTGCGACGTCTACAAAGACGATATACAAGGCGTTGTCGGCCCGCACCAATATGCAGTGGGGCGCGCTGCGGGGTGCGAGCTCGTGCACAAGTGCCTCGCGGCCCTCTCTGAGGCGTGCCCGCTTGGAGTCGCTCTGGCGTTCGACTGCTCTAACGCCTTCAACAGCATCCCCCGCGGCACGGTGCTGGACAGTTTGCGCCGGCGTGCCCCGCGGCTGTTCCAGTGCACCCACCACTGGCTCACAGGAACTACGCAGCACTACTGGTGGGACGATCCAGCCGACGAAGCCCACCGCATTCGGGCTAGCAGCGGCGTGGACCAGGGGTGTCCGCTCTCGCCAGCGCTCTTTGCCATTGGTATCGCAGACGCACTTGACGAGGTCTACACGCGCCTCCAAGCTCTCTCGACTGCCTGCAGGGTTTTCAGCTACCTCGACGACATCATGGTTTTCGTCCCGCCAGAGCACTCGGGCGCAGCCATACAGGTGGTCACGGACACGCTTACTCGGCACGGCTTGGCAGTCAACCAGACGAAGACGCAGGCCTGGTCTGCTGGAGGGCGCGGCCACTTGCCCGCCACCGTCCAGAGGCGCTGGGTGGACCACCTCACCTGCCTGGGGAACGCGGCTCCGTGGCTTGAGCCGGAGCGGAGAGGGGAGGGAGAGGAGGAAGAAAGAGTGACAGTCCACGCAGGGCTGGACGGGGCCACAGCCATTGCGAAGGCCGCTTCTTTTGCTGCGCGCCTGCAAGAGCTGCGACAGGCTGGCCTCCGGGCTGAAAACGCCTTCACTCTTCTCCTGACCTTTGCGCGCGGATGCGTCACGCACCACCTCCGCGCCAACCTGCAGGGCGACTGGACAGAGCAACTGGACCGAATCCTTTTCGGCTGTCTCGAGCAACTCGCTGACGCACCCTTGGACGGCCAACAGCGCCTCCAGGCCACCCTGCGGCTTGCCGACGGCGGATGTGCCTTCCCTTCGGCTACCCTGACGGCGCCCGCCGCCTACGCCGCCAGCTGGGCTCTCCTGCTCCACGACGTCATGGCCTGCCTCGGGGCGAACTCGCTGGAGGAATTCCGGGCCCGCTGCCCGCGGGCGCAGCAGACGCTCGACCAGGCGGAGGCCGCGCTCCGGGCGGCCGACGTTCTCCAGGCGCCCTTCGACTGGATTGGGTGCGCAGCAGAGCCACAGCCAAAGCTGCAGGGGCACTGGGCCAGGGCAGCCTCCGCGGCCAACAGGGCGAAGCTGCTGCAGGAGTACGAGGAGGACCACCGCCTGCGCTTGCGGGAGAGCGGGGGCACTGGAGCGGGCAGCTGGCTCCTCCCGCGCGAGCCAAACGACCCGCGCCAGCCAGACGCGCACTTCTGCGGCAACCTCAAACGCCGGCTCTGCGCCCCAGTCTGTCCGCCTGGGTCCCGCTGCCAGCACCGTCGCCAGGGCGGAAGCCTCTGCAACGAGCCCCTCGACCCGCGCGGCTGGCACGCAGCCAAGTGCGAGGTGGGCGCGTCGCGCAACAATCGCCACAACAGTTGCCGCGACTGGCACTCTGCGAAGCACAAGGAGCTCACTGGCTTCGCGGCGCCCACGGAGCAGGCCGTCCCGGCCTGGGACCGCCGCCATCCCCGCACGGGCGAGCTCCAACAAGCAGTGCTCGACCTCTCCACCTTCGACCCAGCCAGCGGCCGCCAAATCTTTATCGACTGGAGCATCACCTGCGTACACTCAACGTACGCTCCACGCAGGGATGCCCGGGCCGAGAGGGATGGGCTGGCGGCCGCCCAGGCGGTGGAGCAGAAGCGGGAGCGCTACCCTCCGCGCGGAGGAGAACTGGTCCCCCTTGTCTTCCAGACGGGGGGGCGCCCCAGCGATGAAGCAGCCAGCTTCGTCCGCAGCTACGGAGCCAGTTTAGACGACGCCGACCGCTCCGAGCTGCTGAGCGGCCTCTGGCGGCAGATCAGCAGGACCCTCCAAAGGGGGAATGCTGAGATGCTGCTGAGCGCCCTCGGGCGCTAAACCAGTACGGCGGTGACCAGCGCCACCACGACCACCGCCGCGGCGACCGCCGCCAGCGCCACGACCAGGACAAGGGCCAGACTACTGCCCTGAGGCCGCCACCAGCACGACCACCGCTGCCACGACCACCTCGACTACGACAAGGGCCTCACGACGACGACCGCCCCTGCCCCTCCCTCGGCCCCTGCCCCCGCCCCCGCGACGTCGACGTCCACCACGACTTCTGCGGCCACCTCATCCGCCCCCCGTTCCCCTTCGCCTCTGCCTCCTCTCCTTCTCCTTGTGCCTGGCCGCCCCTGCAACTGTGCCCCCCTCCTCCTCCTCCTCCTCCTCCTCCTCCTCTCCCCTCCTTGCCTCTGCCTGGCCGGAATTCCAGCGGCCTGCAGGCCCACCGTGGCCTAGCAGGCGGACTGCTTCCTTCCGGCCTGCCCCCTAGGTCCCCTGCGGGGGTGCCGGTCCCTCCCCGAGGGAGCCTAGGGGGCCGTGACGCGGGAGGGAGGGAGGGAGGGAGGGAGGGAGGGAGGGAGGGAGGGAGGAGGAAGGGAGGGAGGGAGGGAGGGATGGGAGGGAGGAGAGGAGGGATGGGAGGGAGGGGGAGAGGTAGGAGGGGTGGAGGAGGAGGAGGAGGGGAGGAGGAGGAGGGAGGAGGAGGATTGTGGCAGGAGGAGTGAGGAGGAGAGAGGAGGAGGAGGAGGAGGAGGAGGAGAGGAGCCCAGAAGGTGGACGGAGGAGGCGGAGGGTGGAGGAGGGAGTGAGGAGGGAGGAGGGAGGGCGAGGCATGGGCGGGAGGAGGAGGAGGAGGAGGAGGAGGTGTGAGGAGAGGAGGAGGAGGAGGCAGGAGGTGGAGGATGGGAGGAGGAGGAGGAGGAGGAGGAGGAGGAGGAGGAGGAGGAGGAGGAGGAGGAGGAGGAGGAGTGTGGAGGGAGGAGAGGAAGGAGGAGGAGGAGGAGTGAGGAGGAGGAGGAGGAGGAGAGAGGAGGGGGGATGGGTCACGACTGGGAGGGTCCCCACCGCCTCCTCCTGCTCCAGCAGCTGGCTCTGAAGGCGGCGGGATTGGGGGGGGAGGGCGGCGATGACCAAGGGGCGCCCCGGGCGCCCCCCGCGCGAGCCGGCGCCTGCCTGGCAGCCGCGGTTCGAGAAGAGGAGCCCCGCCCCAGCCTCCCCGGCAGGGGGATCGGTGAAGCGGGAGGCGGGAGGAGGAGGAGGAGGAGGAGGAGGAGGAGGAGGAGGAGGAGGAGGAGAAGGAGGAGGAGGAGGAGGAGGAGGAGGAGTAGGAGGAGGAGAGGAGGAGGAGGAAGAAGAGGGGGGAGGGCCAGGAGGAGGAAGAGAGGCAGGAGGAGGGGGAGGAGGAGGAGGAGGAGGAGGAGGAGGAGGAGGGAGGAGGAGGAGGAGGAGGAGGAGGAGGGGGAGGAGAACCATCGCCCCGTTGAGGGGTGGGTCAGCACCAAAGTGGGTCATCGAGGGAAGGAAGATGGGGACCATGTCGCAGGATCTTGGCGATGTCGATGTTGTTCATGGTCCATGTCGGCCGCTGCCGATTCGCGGGGATGCTCCACGAATTGACGCTGACCACGATCGGCGAGAACCGAAGTCGGCACGACGCTTCCGCGCCAGTCTTGGCCACAGTACCCGCTCTCTTCCCCTCCAGCACGATGCGTACCCGATGGGAGTGGCCACCGCGCCCCAGATCCTGGCAGATCAGAGCTCCTTCGAAGTTGTCGATCGAGATGGGATACCGGGAAGGCCAGTGCCGCCGACCCCGAAGGGGACGACGGCGCTGGCGGCAGCGGCGGCGGCGACGACGACGCTGCTGTGGGTCAGAGTCCTCGGGGATGCTTCGTGGGGTCTCTTCGGAGCGCTCCCGTTGGCCCCTGGGGGCGGTTCTGGGGCCTCTCGGGGGCATCTTGGGGGCCTCCTCGAGGAGAAGGTCCCCGCTTCCTTCCACCTCCAGGCCAGGATCGGGTGAACAGTGGGAAACCGATGTCACAGCCCCCACACCAATGGATATCAGATGTCAGCTTTTTGCACTCATGGCGAACGTGCGTGGGTGTAGGCGCCCTGCAAGGGAGGCCGCTGCTAGCTGCCGCAGCAGGGGGGGTGGAGCCCGCGCGCGCGGTCCAGATGGTCTCAAGTTCCTCATGTGTCAGGAGGGAAAGAACACACAGACACAATTCATCGTCGACTCCCAGAACATATGGGAAAATATGGGAAGTGGGGGGAAGACCCCCCCCAAAAAATATGGGAAACATATGGGGAACCCTTTTATTTGTGTATATTTATTTGGTGTGTCCCAGGGCCCCTTCATGAAGTTCCTCGTGTGGGGGGCGGGGGTCGGTTCTCAGGCGTTCCTCGGGGTCGGACCTCCGACGCCGCAGTCCTTGCCAAAAGTCCTTGTCCTTTCTCCCTCTCCTCTTGCCCCTCCCTCCTCCTCCTCCTCCTCCTCCTCCTCCTCCTCCTCCTCCTCCTCTTCCTCTTCCTCTTCCTCCTCCTCCTCCTCGTGCAAGCCCCCCCCCTCTCACCTCTCCCTCCTCCTCCTCCTGCTGTTTCCCTCCCTTCTCCGTCCAGCTCCTGCTCCTGCTCGCACACGCCATCCTTGTGCTTCGCCTCTTGTTCCACCGCGCCGCGGCCCTGAGGCACCCTTGGAGCTCCGGGGCCCCCCCTTCCCGGGGCCCGGCTCCTCGTCGCGCCAGCAGGCAGGGCCAGGCCACGCGGCATCGTTCGGACGTTTGCGGCTTCCCAGAGGTAGTTGTAAGTCGGGCCTGTCCCTCTACAGGAGGAAGTCCAAAAATAGGAAAAAGTAGAATGTGGACGCTTTTTCGACAATTTTTGAAGATTCTTGATTATTTTGTAGATGATATTTTTTATTTGTCCTCCAAAATCCGCCTGTAGGGGGACATGCCCGACCTAGAGCTGCACGGGTTTCAGAATAGGAGCCGGCAGGCAAGGGTAGGCCAGCGTCCTCTCCACGGCTGCCAGTCAGGGAGCCTCGCAGCAGGCTGCTGGAGATTGCAGCGTGTTCCAGAAGCGTCTTCCTGCTCGTTCCGACGGTAGCCTTGTGCGTAGCTCTTGGTGAGCGCTTTCTAGGTTCGTTCGCAGCTCCAACGTCAAGCTTGCAGGCTTCCCGAGCATCCCGTCAAGATCCTTTTTGCAAGCGTCTCACGCAAGCTCCCCGGCGTTCCGGACTGCTCGTGCAGGCCCCACTTGGAGGTTGATAGACCTCCTACTCTGCCACGTCGATGAGCGAATTAGCCGTTTTCGGTCGGTCCTAGGCCGTCTTCACCAAAGGGTGGTTTACTAGAGGGCGGTTCGTCCACCGCCGACCCACGACTGCTCTGCCATCTGGGTTTGGGATGGTTTTCTCGGAGAGGGCCACCTGGGGGCCGTAGGCGACCCGAGGAGGAGGAGGAGGAGGAGGAGGAGGAGGAGGAGGAGGAGGAGGAGGAGGAGGAGGAGGAGGAGGAGGAGGAAGAAGGAAGGAGGAGGAGGAGGAGGAGAGAGGGAGGTTAGAGGATGAGGAGGTGGAGGAGGGGGGAGGGGGAGGAGGAGATGGAGGAGGAGCAGGAGGAGGAGGAGGAGGAGGAGGAGGAAGAGGAGGAGGAGGAGGAGGAGGAGGTGGAAGAGCAGGAGGAGGAGGAGGAGGAGGAGGAGGAGGAGGAGAAGGATGATGATGATGATGATGATGATGAGGAGGAGGAGGAGGAGGAGGAGGAGGACGGGACGCCTAAGCCCGTCGGAGAAACTCTCCACGAACATTTTGGCTCATCCGCGGAAACAAAGAGCGCACGAAACCGACAGTTGTGCACGAGGCATTGGCGCCCGAGCGGTGGCAAGACCAGGCTGGGCGCGAGCGGGGCTCGGCCAGAGCGCCAGGTCCTGCAGGATCCCGCGCAGCTGGATCTTGACTGAAGCAGCACCAACGGCTGTCGGGATCATTTTTTGGTATATGTATACACCTATACGACCACCCTGCGGGTGATAAGGAGGTTGTGGGGGGGGAGGGGGCCAGCAATGGGCAACAGTGGTGATTGTTGTTCTGACGATGCCAGTGGAGATTGTTGCGTTGCCGCTCGCTCTTGGGAGCCTTGGTGTCGAGTTGTTTACGTCACCCTTCGCTCTTGGGCGCCCTGGTACCAGTCCCCCCCCCCCCCGGGAACTAATGAAATAATGATTTATTTCGTTCATTTTGCAAGGGCTTGGGGGCCGTTTGGGCGCGTCTTTTGGACCTCTTGGGGGGCCGGGTGGCTCTTGGGGGCCTCTTGGGGGGCCTCTTGCGGGCCTCTTTTTTTTTTTCTTTGTTTTTCTTTCGTTTTCTGGTGTACTTTTTTTTCGTTTTCTTGTCGCTATCGTTTTTTTTTTATTTTCCTTCTTTTTTTCGTGTTTTTTTTTTTTTTTTTTTTTTCGTGTTTTGTAGGTATTTTTGTTTTTTCTTTTTTTGCTCTTTTGATTTTCTTTTTTTTTTTTGTTTCTTTTTTTTTTTTTTTTTTTTTTCGTTTATCTTTCGTGGGAGCCTTTTTGGGCTTTTTGGGGGCCTCTTGGGGCCTCCCGGGAGCTTCTTGGAGCGACCCTCAAGAGCTTGTTCCGCCAACGTTCGTATTGGGGGCCTTGGTGTTCAGAGATTGTTGCGTTGCCTCTCGCTCTTGGCACAGCATACAGCACGGGATGTCGATCTGCCTGACGATTTGCATTTGCATTTGCTTATCGATGTGCATGTCGATTTGCTTTTCGATCAGAATTTCGATCTGCATTTCGAATTGCATCTCACGATCGGTCTCACTATCGATCCCAAGATCGATCTCACTATCGACCTTACTTTCGATCTCACTCGATCGATCTCATTATCGGTCTCACTCAATCGATTTCACTGTCGATCTCACTCTCGATCTCGTTTTGGATCCCACTATCGATCTTACTATCGATACCACTCCATCACTATCGATCTCACTATCGATATCACTCCATCGATCTCACTATCGATCTCACTATCGATCTCTCTATCGATCTCACTCGATCGATCTCACTATCGATCTTACTCAATCGATCTCACCACAGATCCCACTATCGCTCTCACTATCGATCCCGCAATCGATCTCACCATCGATCTCACTGGATCGATCTCACTGTCGATCTCACCATCGATTTCACAAATCGATCTCACAATCGATCTCACTATCGGTCTCACTATCGTTTTCGCACCAGCGGGACACTGGGACACCAGCGGCACACCGGCGGGACACCGCGCGGCCCCGTTTGCCGGTCGGGAAACAGTTGGTCCGGCCGCGCCTCAGCCACAGGAGACTTACCGGGACACCAGCGGGACACCGGCGGGACACCGCGCGGCCCCGGTTGCCGGGGGGGGAATCATTTGGTTTGGCCGCGCCTCAGCCACAGGAGACTTTTCTCTCGCCCGCCCACGCAGCTTCGCCTCGCCCGCACGCACGGCACGCACGAACACGAAACCGAAACCGTTTTCCCGGTGGGGGGCTCTCCGTTGCACTTCGATCTCACCCCCCAACCTCCGATATTAACATGCTGTTATTATCATATGCCTATACGACCGCCCTGCGGGCGATAAGGAGGTTTGGGGGGGATTGAGATCAAATGCCCACCCTGACTGACCTCCAACCTGTCACCTTGATCTCATCTCTCTCTTTCTCTCTGTCTCTCTCTCTCTCTCTGTCTCTCTCTCT